AGTCTTGCGTTAAGGTTTCAGTTCTAATACTATGATCGATATCTGCGACTTCATGAACAGTTGGGTGTCGTTTATCATTTTAGAGAATACTTTGACTAAAGAAAACATCCAGAAGTCATGCATTAAGGTTTCAGTTCTAAAATTATGACCGATATCTGCGACTTCATGGACAGTTGGGTGTCGTCTGTCGTTTTAGAGAATACTTAGAAGAAAGACAATGTCTAGAAGTCTTGGATTAAGGTTTCAGTTTTAATATTATGACCGATATCTGTGACTTCATGAACAGTTGGGTGTCGTTTTAGAGAATACTTTGACTAAAGACAACGTCCAGAAGTCTTCCAATGCAAGGTTCAGTTGAAATATTCTGACCAATATCTGTCACATCATGAAGTGTCAGGCACAGTTAGCTGCATTAGAGCACATTTCGGCTATGGAAAATGCCCGAAGGCATTCTACGCACTATTTGGTTCCTATCTTATGACCAATATCTCTTGTGTCAATAAGAACTGGGTGTGCTTTGTTGCATTAGAGGATATTTCGAACACACACATCAACCGAAAGCCTGCTACTCTGGCCTCAATTGTAGTCTTATGACTGACTTAAATCTGTCAGATCATGAAGTTGCAGGCGTGATTATTAAGTTGGCAGATATAAAATATGTTGTGTAAATATACTGAAGGTACCAGCATATGCAAGATATTGTTAGTAACTTTGGTAGTGCAGGTATAGAAACCCGGTGGTTTGTAAACCTGATCAGGAGGGCAGCCACGCCTCATTCACCGCAGAGAGGAGGGGGGGGAGCTCAATGTCAACACCATATATTAACATAATAGGGAGCGGCGCACGCACCGATGTTGATTTCTGGTGCATACCGCTGTGGTTACTTTGGGCACTGAAATGTCAATTACTTCTAAAATAGTCTAAATTGTGGTGGTTGAAGCACTATCAACTTCTTAACGTGTTCTCATATCCTCTGAAACATACATTCCCGCTCCAGTTGAGAACGTGCTGTTCTGTGCTGAACTTGGACAGTTCTAAGCCAAAAGATCAAGCAACATTGTGCATCGGCCTTGCACGCGCGGGCGTCAACGTGGTCGACGCGTGCCAGTAGTTGCACGCCCTTTTCCTCCACAGGCGCGACTAGACGCTTTTGACGCGTAGGCGCAAGCATACGCGTGCCAGTGGTTGGCACTTAAAACGTAGGTGGCCTTGAGCGTTCTCGTTTCAGGGGATGTGGACTCTGCTGATGTATTAGTACAGGGCATGCTCTCCTTCTGTTTTTGTAGATATATTATCGTCAAGTCATCTGGCAAGCGCCTCATTGGCACCCGATGCAGCACCACACTGCTCAGGGGGTGCACCAAGACATTTGAGCGCACTTACGCGGAAACGCACGGTGTCATGCAGCACCCGAAGGTTCCCCACAACTTTGGAACTACTCAGGGCCGACAGTGCAATACGTTGGTCGATATACTCGCTGACTAGTAATTCTAGTTGATAGAAGCTCTCTTTTATTGTGGTAACGTCACTTTCATAGTTGTTGTCAGCCAGCCTGATGCCTTCGGCAGCTCGCCTGGCCGCTCCCGTCAGGTACGTCTTTATATACTTAAATTTCTTGATGAGTGGCAACTGGGTGTTTTCGTGAATTGTGGTGCTGTAATGGTCCTAGAATTTTTTTCTCTGGCGTAATTCTCCGGCATACGTTGAGACCTGAAGCGTCGGAAGCACGATCCATCGGTAGCGGGGCGTACTGATGGGTTCTATATTGCTCTGCATTGCTGGCATTCGGTCGCTATTGCGTTCACTCAGCGATGGGTCGCTGGCACCGGTCGCCTAATGGCGCTGTGACAGGAAGAACTGCACATCAGATATCGCATACAGAATATTCTCATAATATTCCCTTGTGCCCTCGACTTCTCCTTCAATAGGGTTGTGTTCAGTAAGATTCAGAATGTCCTTGTCCAGCTCTGGCAGTGGTCAACTTCTTTCTTCTTTGAAACGGCAACTTGGCTATAGACCTCACGCGCCTTGGTGTCGGGGTCCAGCAGAAGACCTGTCAGAAGCACACTATTCCGGGAGACACTGGTCCTGACAGTTCCACGCACCATTTGAAGTTGCTCGGTCGAAGACATCGTTGTGCAGTACTGACCAGTTCCCTGGTTTCACGGCACCAATTGTTCAAACAAGAGCCCGTCATTGTAGAGTTGGACACGTCTTCACTGAATCAAGGGCTAGCCCTGAATACAACTTCCTCGTTCTCTTGCTCTCGTCCCAGTAAATACCCCCAAGACAATTCTCCACTAGTCTATTTTCAACACATTGCATAATGCTAAGTTGCCCAAGTGCGTGGTAAGTGTTGTGAAGCGTGACGTTTTGATTTTTTTAATTAGAACTTCCACTATACTGTGCTGCACCGCTTTATTACAGCGATAGCTGTTATGAGATCACCACTCGGGTCTCGCGCAGCGCCGTAGTTATCCGCCGCCACCGACGCTGCCACCGCCCACCGCCAAGGCCCGTAACCCGAGGCCCGCAGAAAAAAACAGTACCAATAAAACAATGGGGCCCAAACTCGGGTCCACTGGGTGCCCGCCAGTATTTAACACTGAGCCACGTCGGTACTTAGGAATTGTCGGAAAACAATACTTAGGCAGGCTTGATGTCGGGAAAGCAATTGCGTTAATGCGACTTATAAAGCGTTTTAAAACAGCGAAAGAACAAGCAGTCGTCACACAATGAGAATAGCGTAACGAGTGGGTCGTCCAATGCTTGAACCCATTACAAAAACTTGTTTTGGTTCAGCTATTAACTGTGGCCTATACAGACTTCAAGCATAATTCCTCATCGTCGTTAGCCACTGCATGAACAATAGGCACAAAATTCCTCGCAATAGGTAAACGGGTACGACGCTTCTCAGAAGAAAAACGAAAAATAGCATAGTGAATACCGGCCTACTAGCCTAAAATTGTTAATATTAAAGCCGTAGCGGGCATCAAGCAAGTGTGCTAGCAGCAGTTACGCAATCAGTGTTAAGAACTAAAGGCTCTGCAAGGCCACTCTTCTAGCTTTCGCTGTGGCGGTGCTGCGCCTTCCGCCCAGGCTTGGCGTTTTTTTTTTTTTTTTTTGCACGCGCGTTGTCACCAGGGTTTCTGTTATTTTTTGAAATATACTTCAAACTATTAGACTTAGTTCTGGCTTTTGAAGCAGAAGGTTATGGTACTTCATGCGATATGGTGCAGTATTGAACGAATAATCGGCAGGTCCGACGTTCAGTGGCAATCGATGATATGCGAAGCACGAATGAGAAATGTTCATATGTTGAAAATCAGCATAACGTTACGAGGTGGAAGTAAATGATACCGTACATGACTTCCATGTCATGATTATCATGTTTGAAAGTGTTTTTTACCTTTCTCATCTATTAACGTTACGTGATAGCAAATTTAGTATATGTGGAGCTAGCGAAATGACCGCGGGCACGCTAAGAGCGTGGTATGTTGTCTTGTTCTTACATGACACGCGTGTCAGAATTATCATGTTTGCACCAGTCATATACTTGATCATATATGGACGTCACATGACACCAAATTTGCTTTATGTGGAGCTAGCAAAACGGCCTCGAGCGCATCATGAAGGGCCCAATATACTCCAATGTAGCAATGACGCGCACGCACGCTGGGCACAGCGACACTACGTCACCAAAACGCGAGCACTCTATAGTCTGACGCCAGGCGCGACCAGCGTCCGTCAGCACCACCGGTAGCAACCGGCGAGAAATGCGAATTGCTGCATTTCGCTTCAATTTGTTACCCCGACAACACTGCGTCTCCCTATTATCGTGACGGAGGAACGCTGGACGCGCTGAAACGCGCATGCGTCAAAGCAACTCAGCGCGGCGCGTTCCTGGCGTCGCCGGCGTGACGCCACCTACGGCTTTAAGCCGTACTTGGCCAGATAGATAGATAGATAGATAGATAGATAGATAGATAGATAGATAGATAGATAGATAGATAGATAGATAGATAGATAGATAGATAGATAGATAGATAGATAGATAGATAGATAGATAGATAGATAGATAGATAGATAGATAGATAGATAGATAGATAGATAGATAGATAGATAGATAGATAGATAGATAGATAGATAGATAGATAGATAGATAGATAGATAGATAGATAGATAGATAGATAGATAGATAGATAGATAGATAGATAGATAGATAGATAGATAGATTCAAAGTCACCGAATTTCGCTGAGAAATGCTTCACCTTTAAAAAGAAGAAGCAGCGCAATTTATGTATTCAATATACAAAGCCGTCAGGTTACCTAAATATATACCCGCCGCATGAGTCCGCGTAATATTTTAGTAACTTCAAAACATGTCTGCACCTTCCTCTTTCGAGCAAGACTAGCAGGAAGACGCATGCATGCAGACGTACCTTCTCCATCTCAATTGCAGCTGCAGTTCCTACACGGCAGGCCATAGGAATACCAAAATTGAGCAGGCAAAAAGCATGCAGCCGATAAATATACCTCTCACAGCACCTCGCCCTCGCTACATTTCTCACGAACCTAAGGTCCTCCCACAAAAAAACACCATTGAATGTATATATATTAATGTGTCGCTTCACCAATTGCGTGATAAATAAACTGTAGTGGTTGTCGCTCTGTTCAGGAGTAAATTGAGTAATGCTGATTCCACTCAGAAGTAATGAACAAATTTGTAAAGCATGAAGTAGTAATGAGAAGCGATGCTGAAGAGTTTCGTTGATCATGGGACCTATACATCTAAACTTTTCTCAATTCAAGCACACTATTACGTTTACGACTCTCAACAAAACTGAATGTGAAGTAACTATTCGCCTAACCATGTTAAAGGGTAGCTTTGTGGTGTAAATGTAACATGCTGTAGTTATCATGGGAACTGACAAAATGATTGTAGGCTGCATCTTGAGCACAGGAAACAGACGTTTTGCCTAAACATGGAAAAGTCTTACCGATTTAACGGCTGCCTCCTTGTCAGTTTTATGTGGCCTCTTGAGCGCTTCATAATCTGGCCAAAAATATTCGGAAGAAATTGAAAAAGTTATTTGTTATCTTCTGTCTTAACAAGTATCTTTTGCTTTAACAAAGTCAAACATTCAGGTAAATTTTCACTGTTACAAGTTAAATGTACTCAACTTTACAAAAACACCAACAAAAACTTCCGCAAAGCGGAGGAGCACATTGTAGCGGTTCTGTATGCTTTATTTGAAATAACCAATTATGCCGCTAGTAACGATGCCCTCGAATGTTTAAAATATAGTTATTTCGCACTTTTGCTACTCTTTACGAATATTCAGTTGAAAATCAGCAAGATTCACTTTTAATTCTGTATGCCTTCCATAAAGGTAGCACAATTTGCACCTAGATAAATATACTACCGTTAAAAGTTGCCATACAAACGCTGTATTTTGTGATGAGGCGATGCCTATTCAATTAAAAAGTGCAGGTTTTCCTTTATGTTGGAATCACGTCAGTTTTGCTGGAGTATTTATTAACCATCTAGTTTAGCCCTGCGGCATATGATACACTCCTAATGTTTCCGCATGTGGGATGGACAATTCAACGACATTAATTCTCAGAACAAGCTAGATTTCGAACATGGCAAAATGTGGACTTCTATTGCACATTAAGCAAATAGACATCTAGGTTTCAAGCACAGGAAGATAGACAGGCATGCCAACGTGGATGGAATGTTTTCAAACGATGCTACAGCTGCCAAACACCAATAAATACTGTACAAACCTTCTTGTCTCAATGCACAATAAAGAGTCACTCAACTCTGCAAAGATGTATTGCTCTTTCTGTTAAAGCGATAACAATAACTGAGGCAACAGCAATTTCTTTTTGATAACAGGAATCTTATAACACGCCATCTTATTGCTCTACTATTTATGACATTTGAAGTTGAGGCCTACACACTTAGTAATTGTTACTCTGCGTGATAAAATAGTCAAGACCAGTCCATGCTCTAGAGCTGCGCAGAAAATAAAGAGAGATTACCATTGTGACTATTACTTAGAAACAGCACATGCAATAGTCATGCAGTACCATTTTATAAAAATTATCTACCAATACTGCCTTGCTCATATGTGCGTAAAGACAAAAACCACATTATGTGGTCATCATTCTCTAATCGATTATTACTAACTCATGCGTTTTAACAGCAGAGCTGTTTAAGTGTGCCGATTCGCCGCTTCACGTTAGCAAAAACTATCATCGTTATCAAGGGCCTGCGCCATTGAGCGCGCGCTACAGTAACTCGGCTGACACGCACTGTCTTCGTCCTCCTCTATATTTGAGGGCAATTTTCGGGTGAAAAACTACTAACATCACAAGACAGCAGGCAAACACAGACGCAACTTTTTTGTAGATTGAAGTAGTTAAAGCAGAGCCCGTATTGTGTTCTCATCTTGTCATTGTGTAGCTTTTCACGCTCAAAAACTTCCGTCAATATGCATATTATCTCCGTATTCTAAATGTTCTTGAACCATCCACGCTACAATTTTTTCTTTATTCTCCAAGTTCTCGCACTGCACCAATTTCTCCACCGAGGCCTGAAGAGAAACTGAGAGCGGAGATTCGAACAGAAATGAATAGAAACGAAGAGCGAAGGAGAAGTAGAGATAATTAAAGATAACCAAAACGGAAGATGGCAGAAAGACAAAGAAATAAACTGAGACAGAAATTGATAGCAGGAAACGAACTGAATAAACCTGAAAAAAATGAAAAAAGACAGAATAAGCAAGAGAGAGAGAAATAAAAGTGATGTGATAAACAGATCGACAATCGACAAAAAAATAAAGCGAGCATTAGGTAGAGAAGTGGGTGAACTTGATGAGAAGAGAAGGAAAAAGATTAAGCAGTATAGACAGTATTATATCGAAAAACTTGGAGAAAGAAAGGATGAAAGAATAAATGCAAAAGGAAACAAAGAATTTCATTCTAATTCACTTCTTCTTCACGCTTCTTCAGAGCTAATGAGAATCTGCTTTAACAGGTTATACTATGGCACTGGTACCTCACGAAATTATTTGTCGCCTCTAGTCAACAATGATTCACCGTAGCTCAATCGCTAAGAAATTTTAAAGATGTGAAGAGTAGCATACATTATCTATTAGTTAAAGATGACTTTATTAAGGAAAGTAAATTTTAGTAAAAATAAGCTCTAATTCACTGCTCAAACAATTCCAAAAAATTAACCATATGAGTCTGAACTACATTAGCGATTTCAAATTTTCGTAACAGTTATAAGAAATTTTATTTACTTTAAACGTGCCTGCAAGGTTTGCTCGAAAAGTCGACCGTATTTTACTAATGATTTGTCACCTTGAAAAGCAAACGAAGCTCTCCTAGCACTGTGCGCATATACTGAAGGTACTGAAATAAAGAATGAACAGTTAAGGTAGTCTAAAAAGTATAACAAAAGTTCACCAAACGCACGGGGCGGACGTCATTGAGGAAAAAAGTAGCCGTACGAACGGCTACTTTTTTAGCAACCAAAAACTAAATATCATAAAAATATTCAATGCAGCCGAGACTCTTACGGCGTAATGAATGCACGTTAAACAAGAGAGAGAGAGAGTAAGAGTATGAATATAAGAAAAGTAGGGTGGTTCCCTAGACAACGTCCAGCTTGCCCACCTACACGTGGGCAAAGAGAATGAGCAAGTAAAAGAGAGACATGGGAGGAGCTGCACATAGCACACCACACACACAGTGCCGGGTTTCACAGGTGGTCGCTCAGTTATGTTGCATTTAGGAACTGCAGGACAGTGCATTTGGCTTTGTGGGCTGATGTGTACTTGGAGGCCATACACCCAAGACATTTTCTTGAGTTAAGGAAAGTCCATCCAGCCTCCCCAAGGCACATGGCAGTTCGGCGATCTTGTTTAAAATTGGGACATTGGCACAAGACGCCATTGCAGTTGTCACACTGTGACGATTCAGCCGTACCACATTAAACAAATTGATTTGTAAACCACCCTCTGAACTTATCTGTTTACTATCTTAAAGCAAAACAAAAGATTAACTTACTTAACCCATCGCAAAACAATGTCCAGGTGCACATAGCACAGAGAAAGCTGTAATAAACTTCCATTGCTTTTCTTTTTGAAGGCTTCTACTTCATCCTGCAGAGAAATCCGTATTTATTGCGCAAGAACGCATAAAGGCCTTAGTATTTGCAATGATCATACACTGTAGCACCGCCAAAAAGTATTAAGGAGCGTTTTCTCAATGATGGCCAGTTGGCCCAGCCCCCTTTGTTCGATTGTACTAGCCTCAGTATTCACTCTTTAGCAAGAAATGAACCCTACATCTTTGCATGTTTCCTGCATTAGTGAAAAAAGTCCAGCCCACCGTGACATGATTGTTCGAATTCTTTCTTGCGATAACCAAAGATTTCATGAAAATGCGTGGCAATTTGCACTTGGAGTGATAGCCCACAGCGTACTAACATCTATTTCACGAGGTTTTCTGTAGCCACGTAGGTTCGTTAAATGTCATTATCAGACGTTTTCAGTTGAAACTCGCAGTGTTTTACTTGCACACAGAATTTTTCAGGGCGTTTACAGTGCGTGAATTCCATAACAGTGTACGCGGAAAGTAGCGCGTTGTCGTGCTTTGCCCTTTGGAATATGTCGAGTTGGCCAGGGCTAAGGTGCTTTTTTTGTACAATTCTTAATACAATGCGAGCAAGAACTATCCGAGATTGGTGTTCTTGCAGCTCATGATCTCTAAAGTACGTGGATGACGCTGTTTTAGTTTTTACAAGACACTCCTTCGCAGCGCTCTGAAAATACTTGATGACCAATTTGTCGAACATTTCAGATTAGTCTGGCAGGAATCAACTCAATGTTAACTACTGTACCAAAACAAAATACGTTGTCTTTCACTCACGCAAAAAACACAGCGATCATAATCTTTTTAACTGGACGAAAAACAACGGTCCAATTCAAGAAATTTGTCTTTTTAAATATTTGGGCGTCATTTTTGATTAGGATTTACACTGGCACGAGCAAGTACAGAGTGTGTGCGCAAAGGTAGCCTATGGCTGCTATACTCTAATATAAGCTCACCAATATTTTTCACAAGCCATACTTCCTACACTCAACTGTGCCACTGTCATATGTTTTACTGCTTGGAATCGTGGGGTGTTACGTACAAAAAGTATATAAAGCTGTTGAACTAATTCAAAAGTGTAAATTGAAAGTCATTAGCTACAGTAGATTAGTAAGTAACATTTTACGATCATAACTCATTCTCTCGGCTGCTATGTCGCGCGACTACAAAATTGCTGTTTCAATAAATACCATAATAAATAGAAATTCACCTTTGCCTGGTCATATTTTCTCAATTCCTACACACACTACGTGACATGCTTCTACTGGTAATTTCAATATGCCCAAATCTCTTGATATTTAAGGAGAATGACTGATCAAATTTAATGAAACTATAACATAAACGTGATTCCCGTAGAGAGTAAAACTGCTCGTTTTTCGGCCTATCACCCAAATCTTTTTTACAGAGACAAGATATGTGTGCCTGTGTGTATGTCTTTTTGGTTTGATTTTCATTTTGTTGTTTTCATTAATGAGTGCTGGTGCAGTACGCTAGTCGAAACCTAATGAGTTCGGATGTTCACACGAGAACATGTATACGTGTATTGCATGTATTTATACAATTCATTTCTATTTTGTATGCGAAGCATTTCTTAGCAAACTTCTGTGACTCTAAGGGTATCTATCTATCTATCTATCTATCTATCTATCTATCTATCTATCTATCTATCTATCTATCTATCTATCTATCTATCTATCTATCCATCTATCTATCTATCTATCTATCTATCTATCTATCTAGCCGCTAACATTTCGGTGCTCTCGTGGTCACCCCTAAACTTGGTGTGAACGAAAATTAGCATGGGAGGATAAGATGGTTTGAAAAATATGGCGCGCTGGTAAAGACGCGAATATTGTCACAATCCCGTCACGTACGTCGTCAAATACTTCTCGCCAGACATTGGCATATACCCATGGACGGGTGCGTGGCACTGGTATATGGGTATGTGGCACAGGTGATTGACACTTAGTGTCTACCCAGAAACGACGAGAACACACATGGACAATTTTAACACGCGAGCCTTAAGAAATACCCGACATCGGTTGCGTCAACCCGACGGATGCAAAAATAAATGTCATCGTCCCAGCTGCATTCAAACCTAAGCATTCTTCGTGGCAATGAAGAGTTTTACCATAGAGCTACGCCAGGTCTCGGAACTACTTTTCAAATGAACGCTAATCTCTGTGAAATGTCAATAGTGGTCCAGTGCTGACAACCCAATTTAATAAACATTATATATATACTCCGTTGATACAGCCGTCACATCGGGTTAACCCCAATTGTGGTTAGGTGCGATGCGCTGAAGTTGATTTTTTTAGCAGTGTCCAGTGCCAGCATCCTCGCGAGCATCAGCACTTCATATCAGCTTCTGGTTCTGCTAATACGCATGTTCTTGTTGGCGTCGTTACGCAAATGCAAAACAGTGTTTATATGAACATATGTAACTCTCAGCCCCGCCGCGGCGGTCTAGTGGCTAACGTACTCGGCTCCTAACCCGCAGGTCATGGGATGTAATCCCGGCTGCGGCGGCTGCATTTTCGATGGAGGCGGAAATGTTGTAGGCCCGTGTGCTCAGATTTGGAGGCACGTTACAGAACCCCAGGTGGTCAAATTTTCCGGAGCCCTCCACTACGGCGTCTCTCATAATCATATGGTGGTTTTGGGACGTTAAACCGTACGTAGCAATCAATCAATCAACCAACATTTGTAACTCTTCAACATATGTCTGTGTATGCTTTGTTTGTCCATACATTTAGCGTCAATTCGTGACGTGTCGCTCAATAAAAATTGGCAGATTGCACGTGCAGTGGGAATATATGATATGCGAAGCGTGAATGAGAAGTGTTGATATGTCACTTTAAATTCAGCACAACGTTACGAGTTGGAGGTAAGTGACGCCACACGTGACTTCCGTCATAGCATCATGTCATGATTCTGTGACATGATTATCATGTTTGGATGTGTCGTTTACCTTCGACATCTATTCACGTCACGTGATACCAAATTTAGTATATGTAGAGCTAGCGAAACAGCTGCGAGCACACTATGAGCGTGGTATGTTCTCATGTTCTTACATGACACGCATGTCAGGATTATCATGTTTGCACCAGTCATATATTTCATAAACCATTGACGTCACGTAACACCAAATTTGGTACATGTGGAGCTAGCAAAACGGCCACGAGCGCATCATGAAGGGCCCAATATACTTTTATGTAGCGTTGCCGCACGCACACGCAGGGCTCAGCGACGCTATGTTAGCGAAATGCAAGCGAAATGCAAGTCTGATGCCAGGCGCGACCAGCGTCTGTCGGCACAGCCCGATGGCAACCGGTGCGAAATGCTACATGTTGCATTTCGCGCCGATGCAATAGGCGAACATTACTCTATGCCGATGCATTACCCAGACAACACTGCGTCTCCCTTTTTTCGTGACGGAGGAACGCCGTACGGGCTGAAAGGCACATGCGTCAAGGCAACGCAGCGCGACACGCTCCTGCGAGTATATGACAGGACCGGCGCCTGACGTGGCAACGCCGGCAAAGCGACAAAATGATCGCCGGCGAGCAGCACACTGCGCCATGTCTAAAAATATTGGCGCCTTGACTGAGGCATGTAGTCATATTCTCGCATGACACGCAGCTCATAACAATCATGTTTGCACCAGTCACATACATTCCTCATCTATTGGCGTCACGTAATGCCAAATTTGGCATACGTTAAATTAGTGAAACGACCGTGAGTGCATTATCATTGTGACATGTAGTCATGTTGTTACATGACACGCATGCCGTGATTATTATGTTTGGATGTATCATTTACCTATGTCGTCTGTTCGCGTCACGGAATACCGAGTATGGTACATGTGAAGCAGGCGAAACGGCCGCGAGCGCATCATGAGAGTAACATGTAGTCATGTTGTTACATGATACGCATCTCATGATTATCATGCTTGCACCAATCACGTACTTTCGTCATGTATTCACGTACCATAATACCAAATTTGGTATATGTGACGTTAGTGAAACAGCCGCGAATGCATCATGAGCATGGCATGTAATCAAGTTGTTACATGACACGCATGCCAAGATTTTTATGTTTGCACCAGTATCATATCTTCGTCATCCATTCACGTCCCGTATTACCGAATTCGGTATAAGTGAAGCTCGCGAAACAGCCGCCAGTGGATCATGAGCGTGCCGTGCGGTCATGCAGTTACATGACACGCATCTCATGATCATCATGTTTGCACCAGTCACATACCTTCGTCATCCATTCAGGTACCGTAATACCCAATTTTGGTATATGTGACGCTAGCGAAACGGCCGTGACTGCATCATGAGCGTGGCATGTAATCATGTTGTCACATGACACGCATGTCATGATTTTCATGTAATGGTCCGTCGCTTGTGCTCGGTATGCAATCATGTTATACCATACCAGTTTTGCAACATTGCATGTGAACGAAACCAGCGCAAGAGCTGCAGGACCATGAAATGTAAATCATGACATTCATGACATACATGTCATAATTTTCATGTTATCACCAGTCAAATATGTTCTCCATACAGTCATGTTATGCCACACCAAGTTTGGTATTGATACCATCAAGAAAACGGCCAAATTCGGCCAAAGATACGCTCAAAGTCGCCGAAGTTCAGTAAGAAACGCTTCGAATTTTGAAAAAATGCCACACGCTCACTATCCCTCCGCATGCTACGCATAACGTGGATTCTAAAGGCACGTGGGATCTGCCGAATTTTTTTCCGTCAAAGCTTCGTTGTACAATTTATATACATGTTGTATTTGACCGGTCACTATACTCTGTTTCACACATCAGGTGCTAGGCTGTGGAAGCTATGGGAGAGGTTTGGTCAGCAAGGTGTGTGACTACGCAAGTCTCGTGCTTGGGTTTCAACATTGTAAACGCTCGTGCGAGACGAGCATGAACGCACTCTCTCAAGATAGCGACAGGCCACAAATAAACATCAAAAGGTGAGAACCGAGA